TGCGCTGCACCACCCACAGCTCCAACCACATACCCCATATCCAGTGTAAACCCGAAGGAATAAGACCGGGAGGCATGCGGATGGGAACCACGTTTCATCAACGGAGCCGGCCCACACTCCTTCACAGGCAAACACAAGCACGCTGTATTTGGGGAATCAACCGCACACAAGGCGGTGGCTGGACCGTAGTCCGCTCCACACTGAGTGCATGGAACCGCTCTTTGAGCCTAGCACGGCCACAAGAACCGTGCACCCCGTCCCCTCCAGCAACGACCAACTGTCTCCTGGAGCCAGTATGAACGATGTAGTGGGTAATAGACAGGTAGGCACCTTGTCAACATACACATCAAGCGCAACCATTCCAGGGATATCAAACAACAGCCATTCACTTTAAACGACAAGCTGAAATAAAATAAATCCAATAATGCATACAGATACGGTGGCATAACTCTTCGCTAAATTACCATATGAAGTAAGTTGGTTAGCAACAAATCCGTGATAAGTAAGAAATGTCCACAAGTTACTTAAAATGCTACAAACGCAACAAAATTACCGAAGATAAGCGCAATTAGTGTAAGCAACGTGGCCAGTTAATAGAACATTATTCAGGGAGGCAGAACAAACCAAATAAAGCGGAATGAAATTTAGCCAGCTTAAAAAGACCTAGTTTAAGTGTAAGTTGGTTTAGCCCAACTGCGGTGAAGAAGCATCAAGAATGCAACATCAGCCTCAGCATGGGGCATATATATATATATATATATATATATATATATATATATATATATATATATATATATATATATATTCGTTGATCAGTCGAAACCACACTCCCAAGGTAGCAGAAGCTGGAGGTGATTTCCGATGCTTCGTCATCAATGCTGATTTGCGGCATCATTGTAGATTGCACCTCCGGTGAAGGCTGAAAGAGACAGACAGTTTTTCTTGTGTTGATGGTGAGCCCGAATTTGGCCGCTGTTGGAGGCAGAGCACTAGGCATGTGCTGCAAGTCATTCGCGCTGTGTGCAAACAACGCACAGTCGTCAGCGAAGAGCAACATATGGATAGTTGTTTCACAGACTAGGGTTCCCGCACCGAAACGACGAATGTTCGGTAATCCTCCATCAATATGGCGCTCCACACGAACACCGTAAGCACAAGTGGCACCAAAAGCACAAACATCATTGCATGAAGATAAATATTAAACAGGACAGGAGCTAAGCACAGTCTTGCTTCACACCAGAGACAACTGCAAAGTCATCCGAGGTCTCTCCACTCAGCTGCACCCCGCCCGCATACCACTGTGCAGACATTAAATTAATTTACGACTTTTCTCGGAAAACCAAATTTGCCCAACACCAGCCACAATGCCTCGCGATTCACCGTATCAAATACCTTGGTGAAATCAACAAACAGCGAGTACAATGGCTGGTGTCGTTCTCTACTCTTCTCCTGCAACTGACGAGCCTCAAACATCATATCGATGGTGCTGCGACCCGAACGGAATCCACATTGCTCTTCCACTACATTCGGTTCCACAACCTGACTGACGAGGCGGTTGAGCAGGATTCGAGCAATCACCTTGCCCGCACAACCTAGCAAGTTGATACCACGATAATTCGTGCAACAGCTTTCTCCGTTTGCCCTTGTACGGTGGTAGCACAAGAGTATCTTTCAGCTCAGCAGCCACCTCCTCCTCAATCGATACGCGTTTCACCAAGTGGTGCAGCGTAGTCACCAACGCGAGTTCGACGTGTTTCAGTACGTTAGGTGGAATACCGCCGGCACCGGCACACTTGCCGTTTAACAGCAAAACTAGTGCTCTCTGCGTCTCATCCAGCGTCGACGTGTCCGCCAGACTCCCTTTCACATCTTGCTGCTTCAGCCAGTTCAAAGTAGGCGAGTCGATCTTGGAACGGTTGTTCAAGAGACAGTCAAAGTGTTTCCGCCAGATCTGCATTATGTCTGCAGTCTGTGCGCAGGTAGCGCCTGAACTACCATCGATCAGCGTCCTCAGCGGCTCCAACCTCGGTCCATACACCGCCTTCAAGGAGTGAACGAATTCCTTTTGTTTGCGGCGTTTGGCCTACCATTCCATCTGCCACGCCTTCTCCGTCCACTATGCATTTTTAATGCGACGGAGCTCTCGGGTCAGTCGCTGTCAAAGTTTGCGGAACTGACTATTCCTCCCCAAGTCATTGGGGTCTGCGACATGTGCAGCAAATGCTGCATTCTTCTCAGGAACCAATGTGCCAATCGTCACATGGCTCTCAGCAAACCAAGCAGTCCGCTTACAGTTTGCGCACCCGGTGGTCTCCTCGACAGCAGTTGTCACCTGGTCGCGGTGGTGCCACAGGTCGCCCACTGTGGCTATGCAGTCCACATCACACAGGCGTGCAGCCACTGCCTTTTCCAGCTCAATACCTTTCTCCACATACCGAGGGAGCGAATGTTAAATTTACACTGATTCACGGCGGGAGTGCAATACATAGATCTGCGAAAACATATGTGCAGTTTGGTTCGCACCACTTTGTGATCAGTGCCACACTCAGCTCCACGCAGTACACGTGTCATGCGCACTTCACGCATATCACGCTGACGTACGATGACATAGTCGAGCAGGTGAGCGTGACCACTCCGTGGGTGCGTCCAAGTTGCTATATCACTCGCACTCAGTGCAAACCGAGTGTTCGTGATCGTCAGGCCGTGAGTGGCACACAGTGAGAGCAGCCTGTCACCGTTCGCATTCGCTGAACCAATGCCATGCGGACCGATAACATCTGTCCACACCGATTCATCACGTCCAACGTGCGCGTTGAAGGCACCCAGCAGAAATAGTCGGTCGGTCCTCGGTACAGACCGTATCACGGAGGATAGCTGAATGTAGAATTGATCACGCATGTCATCAGGCTAACACATGGTCGGACCGTACGTGCTTACAAAAGTGGCGAACTTACCTCTTCCGAGTCGTAGGCGAACAGTCATCAGTCGCGCGCTGATGCCTGTTGGTTCACCCATCAGCTGGTCATTTAGGCGATCGCATATTACAAATCCGACCCTATGTTCACGTGGTGCTGAGGTGGCGTTGCCCACCCAGTAGAACGTGTAGCCAGCACTTGCTTAAAGCAACTTACCTTGCTCAGCGAGCTGGATCTCACTGAGCGCCGCAGTATCGTTGTTGTACCGCGCCAATTCCACTGCGACCAGTGCAGTGTGTCGTTTAGTGCGCTTACTCGAGTTCGGTCTAGTAGTGTGCGCACGTTCCAGCACCTGATGCTGTGCTTTGCGCACAGGCGTACGATTGCATTGGTGGGCAATCGCACGCAAGGTGGCGGTTGTGCTTCGGAGGTTTGCTTGAGGGACTCCACCCGGAGCCTTTGGCTCAATAGCCTGATGCCCAAGGCAGTGGGTGATTTGGTGGTTTGCTTGTGGAACTCCGTGGGGGCCCTCTGACCCAGTAGCCTGATCCACAAGGCAGCGGTTCATTTGGAAGTTTGCTTGAGGGTCTCCTCCCAGAGCCTTTGATTCGATAGCCTGACCCTCATGTTAGTATGGATTAAATCCAGCTAGGGAATGTGATTACAGAGACAGATTGGGATCTGCTTGACGGCCGTCACACGCAGCCTTTGAGGTATCGGAACTATTCATATATGCTTTGCGACCGTAGTAGGAAACACACCTGTGATCACGCCCAGACGCAGGAGGGTCTCGACGGGTTTGCACCAGTTTGACCAGGGTCTGCCTGGCTTGAGGCGGGCAGTAGCAAACCATTGAGCACCCGGAGGTGCCCTCCCACCGTCAGAGGTAATTCGTGGCGTTCGTGCTCTACGCCAGTCGAGTGGTGAGCTTATAACCCGTAGACCTGTTGTCTCCCATGGCTAGGTTTTACGGGAAGAGGGCCATCGACCACTTCCTAACCTCCGAAGAGGATGGACTATGATACTGGCAGGGCGCCTACAGCTGGCAGGAGGACCACTCTGGTCCTCAGCCAAAGCTTTCGATTGAAGGTACACCCGAAAGGCAGCGGGTCTAGCACTTGGTCAGTCCACTGACTCATGCGGATTGATGTCCTGGATCTTAGCATTGAGAAGGGCGTAACCGTACTCCCACCCAGAGGTTGCCACGCGGAGGCGTTCAGGACATGAGCCCATAACACAACAGTACCAGGAGTGGGTGGACCATCTGTCAGGATCTAGCCATCACCAGCTTCAGCGTACCATTGGTTCTTCAGCCAGGTGATATATATATATATATATATATATATATATATATATATATATATATATATATATTCAAAACTTGACCAGTGAAGATTTGGCAGAGTGGCACAACACATGAGTAACAACAATAAAAAGGAGGAAGTGTCAGGGGAAGGGATGCGAAGATCCATGTGTTGTGTGGGCAGAGAGCTTCCCGGTTGCCCAGGCCGAGGAAGAGGGTTGACTTAAGGGACCCCACCCCGAGCCTTTGGTCTTAAAGACCTGACCCGCAAGGCAGCGGGGCGAATACGAAGATCGTTGACAGACAGGTGGCTCATTCGCCCTCTTTGTGGTCGGTTGCAGTCCACAGAGAAGCCGGTGGCCAACAAGGTTGTTCATCCGCCCTCCGTTAAATACTCACCTCTGGTTACAGAAGTGAGTGGTCAATAGCCGGTTACGTTGGGTCTGGCACAGCACCAAACCAGGTGATCAGGCCAGAACTCCCCACGCTCTGAGACACTGCCGCTGATTGACTGCGACTGCTTATTCATCCCGCCTGCAAAGCAGACGTGACTTATTCGCAGTTACCACCACAAGGAAAGCATTTCCCCACCCGCAACCTGGGGACGCGCTCGATAGCGTCAGCTCCACCACGGGAACGCTGTCACGTGAGTAAATAGTAAGGCAATGTCGGGCGAGTGACCCTGTTGGATAATCGAGAACTGGACAACGGGAAACCCCACAATGGGAGTAAACCATGTCATTTCAAATGCGCGCGATAAGCGGATCAGGTGTAACACTCACTTGGCCAATTCCCGATGTCTGGTGAACAGATGTGTTGCCCTGTGCAGTCGTGACTCCGTCATAAGAGCAGTCGATACTCAAAGCCTCCTGACTTTCGTAGTCCACTCCATCGTCTGCAAGGGTTCCGTTTAAGCGGGCTTGTTCCCGGCGTCGGCATCTGCGTTCGCGCACTGGAACCGAGAGAAAGAAAATAATTAATGCAGGTGTTCGAACTCCAGTTAGTGTGCCAGCGGCCCACATCAGTGTGAGAAAAGTGAACGGTAAAATTTCGAATAAGCCAAAAATTGATTTGTTTGGTGGTTAGAAGTGTGATTTACACCAGCACCAGACAGTTTCAATCTAACAAGGTCCATGTTCCTCACTATTGAATGGTGAACAAGTCAGTAGTATCGCTTTGAATTGCCGAACCAATCGTCACCGGAGGAGAAAACTACTCGGGAAATCCAGAAAAAGTAGACTGCTCACTAGTATTACAGCTACACGAATCCACCGCCTGCATCAAGCGCTCACAAATGAAACGGACTGAAAAGGAGGAGAAGGCCTTGTAGATGACATGCAAAGGAAAGGAACTGGCCAAATTACTCCGTCATAGGACTAATGACCGAATGTCTTTGATTACAGAACTTATTGATGAGGAGGGTTGCCACTTTAATGACCCGACTGCTATTTGTGAAGCGTACAGCACATTTTCGTTGTTTCCATGAACCTAGAAACCGACCCTATATCTTGCTGCCCGGAACTTACAACAAGCGGCATAGATAATGTCGAGATTTCTCTTTCGACCATCCAACAGGCTATGAAGTCCATCAAACCATCGCTCAAACCAGACCGAGGTATTTCCCCATCAGTTATTAAACTTGGTGGACCTGACATACCACTGCTTTTGTTGAGCATGTTCATCTTGTCCTTAGAATCTAGCTACTTTCCGGATCGGTGGAAAACATCGTTTATTGTCCCTCATCATAAAGGGGGGCCCAAACAGCACGCCACTAATTCTCGACCTATGCATCATACTCCCATCATCGCTAGATTACTCGAAAAATTAGTTAAAAGTGGAATCATGGACTTTATCCATCGCCATTGGCTACTTAACAAATCCCAACATGGGCTCCTCGATAAACGTTCCTGTATAACGTGCCAGTTGCACTACCTGGATTACATCACAGAAGCGATTGATGCGAAACATGCAGTTATAATACTGTTCCTGGATATGCAGAAAAGATTCGACAAGCGGCTACTGAAAAGAATCTAGTCGTTTGGAATCAGAGACCCACTAGTTGGTTGGTTGACATCACACCTAAATGGGTATTACCAGGTAGTCACTGGGTAATCATAACTCCTCCCCACGTCCACTCACTAGTGGTGTCATCCAAGGGAGTGTACTTGGTCCTTCCCTTTTCCTGCTTTATATTAACGATATCACGGTTTTATAAAACATGACAGGCCCTTTCAGTTTGCCGATGATATAAAGATTGTTTATAAATTTCGACGAGATAAACTCAATAGCGCAATGCTGCTCGTTCAAGAAGACCTCGGTTCACTTGAGAAATGGTGCAACACATGAATGTTACATTTCTCAGTTGGTAAATCAGGCATTATGTCACACGGATGTTTAATCCCTGAAGAGTTTGTTAAACTGAACAATGAAGGCATCTGTGTGAAAACATCTAACTGTGATGTAGGCATACGATACTCTCCAAACTTTAATTTCTCAGAGCAAGCTGAGTATCAAATAGCATGTGCCGAACGATCTGTGACTAATATACACCATAAAAGCCATACAACATCTGGCAGACTAGTTTTTCAAAAAAGCACTTTCTGTTCTTGAATACTGCAGCATCATCTATGGAAACATGCGTATGGGTAACAGGAAAGCTTTGGAAAACCTACAAAGATCATTCGCTAAGCGCTTGTGTAGTAAATCAGCCACCTTGTTATCAGGAGTGTTGCCAACAGCTTAAGCTCGAACCCCTTTGGTTGTGACGGCTGAAACATAACTTGATGCTGATACACAATCTCATAAACCAAAAGACATACTCCACTCTGTGTACACATAAAATTCAACATAACTTCACTCGGAATATACGAAACAAGACCTGTACATTATGTGTGCCCAGAACCAGGACAGCTATCCGATCAAAATTCTTTCTCGTCAGATACGCTGTCGTATAGAATAGCCTACCAGCCACAATCAGGTCTTGCACAAACGCAAGAACATTCCACATTCAGCTTAGTAAATTCCTGGACCAGAACTTGATAATGACCATGTTTCCATCGAGTAAATCACCACACGAGTTCTTCCAGGATGAACCAAGGAATATATAATCAATGATTAAAGATGGTACAAAAAACTTAACAACAACAAAAGTTATGTGATTCCAAATTATGATATCATACACCCCATAATACATATCTCACTCATGCATGAGCATGATAATTATTGTACCCATGATCTGTCCACAATTCAGAGACAGCTTCTCGTACAATCGGGAAATATACGTATTATTATTATTATTATTATTATTATGACTACGTGGGGCGGTTCAGCATGCGAGGATGATATTCGCGGTCTTCAGGATGAGAGATGAAGGGAGATCAGATGGTCATGTCTAGCACGAATGTCTAGTGCCTGTTACACGATGGTAAGATTACCGCTACGAAACCAGGAACCAAGGTCGGCACGTGATTATCCAAAAAGTGGTTTGTTGTGCAGGGGCGAGTGAAAGGAATATGTGGTCTGGAATGCTGCACTGGAAAATGTTCACTCAATCCCATGGCTGTTCACAAAAAATGCGCGTGTGGAATGTATGTGTAAGAAGACATGTCATGACCGAATGCGCATGCAGTAGTGATGGGGGATGCAGCTACATCAAGATTGGCTTTGATACCGCAGACAGCCACTAACGCAGACAACATAATTTCCCCAAACCACGACAGTGTTCTGCACGACAGTATGCGAGCACTGAGCATTTGCCTACATAGCACGAGCGTATTCGGGTAAAAAGAATGTAATACTTAGCCAACTTCCCAGTGGTTGCCTAGGAAATGGTCGGTTGCCCGCACTGTAAGATTGTTGCTGAGGCGGAAAAGTCTCAAGAGTCGTAGAAGATTAGGTTGATGAGGTTAGAAACAAATTAAGTGCCTGTGAATCGGAGTCCTCTGCGGATCATGATGAGCAAAAGTGACTTTATGGAGCTATTTAGCGAGTTGAAAGTGAAGTTCAACTCTGGAAAAACACATCAGACATATAAAGCAGTCTTAAAGGAGTTATGAAACTTACATACACAGCTTGGAGGTAATCAAAAGCGGCTACTCTGGCGTGTTCCGCACCTCCGTCATAGTGCTCTGCTTTTCAGTAGTGTTACAAGAAAGGCCTGATATGGTAGCATGCTCAACGATACTGCTGATTCGAGCATAAGGTGTAGGGTGGTGCACGTGGAAATTCTTTCGGTCACTTCAGACATAACTAAAGTAACCGTAACCACGCGGGTCACGGCAGTGAGACTTTCAGATGGGGCTACACATGGTGTTCCACGCATACTGCATCGAACTTTTCCACAAATTCGGCGCAAAGTGGTGGTCCGGTAGTTAGCTTATAGGCCGTCGATCATCAGTTCGAGCCTGAGTATAGCGGACCACCTCGTAGCATCACTGCCAGCGTTCAATCGTTGGTAGCTGTGGGCAGCGAAGCGTCTGTTGTCGATTTCGGTGTAATGTCCATACATATATTGTCATACTTGTTCTGAAGCACCCCAAATAACGTGCAATGGCGACGATTAGCAGTGAATGCTAGTCTTCAGGCAGTAATGTGGTCGAAACAACCTAATGAACGAGAATGCCTCCAAGAAGCGCCCAGATGGTGCAGTTAGTGTATCCTCTGGAGTAAATTGCGATAGCTTACATCGTGCTATTGGGTCTACGGCTGTAGCAAATCATAAGCTCGACAAGTAGAAGTTCAGCTAGAATCGGTGCACCGAACAAAAAGCTGCCTTCGAGAGCCAAAAACTAGTCCTACATGATCTTTTTTGCCACGTGGCAGCTAGAAATAAAAGCAATGTGGCTTGAATTCGAGTCAGTGGCGGCTACGAACCAAGCCGACAGTGGGGGGGGGGGACCGCCGGATGAGACTCTTCCGCAACGATGCTATATGAAAAAGTCGTTGGCTATATAAACGGAAGCGACCGACATAAGCACAACGAGTGCGTAAAGGTGAGTTCCACCGTAGGGTAGACAACCCAAGTCCAGTAAACAAGATGGATGTAAGGTGAACCGATGAAACAAAACCAACTGCATAACTGCGGGCGCAGCACGCGTCGAATCGCTTGTTCTATAATCGCCCATACACCTAGAGTGATGGTGATCACACCTAGATGCGTTGAGCTAGTATACGTTCTACCGGTAACTCATGGATGAAATCTACTTGAGATGAGCGTATATCAACTCAAGGTCAGATGGGCCAAGATATTGTGCGAACGAATGAACGGATGGGAAATCATGTGCTCGTGTGTATTGGCGATTGAGGTCCAGAGGTGAATAGACAGCTGCAAATATATATATATATATATATATATATATATATATATATATATATATATATATATATATATATATATATATATATATATATATATATATATATATATATATATATAGGAGTGCGCTGTCGACTGACCAGCAGCTACACAGTGAGCTTCGTATGAGCGTCTCGAAGGCAGCGGCGGCATTCGGAAAGCTAGAGAACCGAGTGTGGAACAACCATCAGCTTACCATTGGCACGAAGCTGATGGTGTACAAATCCACGGTGCTGTCCGTTATTCTATACGGTAGTGAAATGTGGACGATGTACCAGCGGGATGTGCGATATCTCGAGCAGTCCCATCAAGAGTGTTTGTGACGGATTGGCACATTTGTTTGTGCGACAGAATTGCGGACACAGAAGCGCCGTAATGTATGCAGCGGACTGCGTACTATTGCTGAGACACTGAGGTGGCTCGGTCATGTGTGGCGTATGGATTCGACGCGGATACCGAAACAACACTTATATGGTCAGCTGAGTATTGGGAAGCGGCATGTGGGGAAACCAAAGTTACGTTACCAGGACATGATCAAAGTGAGCCTCTCACGTTCTAATCTTGATTGCAGGTCATGGGAATCGAAGGCGGATGATCGGCGTGCATGGCGCGATCTAATCACGAAGATAGTTGCTGAAGTGCGGGAGAAAGCCCTCGTGCATGCGGAGAAGAAGCGACAGGCGCCGATGGGTTGTACTCCATCGACATCGAGCGCATGGTGTTGTAGCACATGCGGTCGCGAGTGCCTGAGTCAGGCAGGCCTAGTGAGCCATGAGCGAGGCCACTCGAGGCAACATCGAAACGACGACGAGTCCTGCAGAGAACATAGGCAGAACCGGCGCAGCGTTCGTAGGTACGTTGCATTCGATTTACTAACCGCGGGCTCGCATGCCGAATCTATTTAGTTCAGGTGTTTAGCTTGCTATATTGTTCTAATCCATTTTTATCTCATATTAATGTCTACCTGGACTATCTTCTATTAACTTGCACACATCCCTTAAACACTTTAGGTAACTTCGATAACATTTTCGCGTTTGTGGTATTTTCCTAAAATATATTTTCTGACGTCTTAACTTCTCCCGGATTTGTTCGTAACCAATTTATTTCATATGCTCAGTCATTGAAGTTATGTCACCGTATCTGCATGCACTATTCGATATATTTTATTTGATATCGTAGTTGCAATTGGTTAGCTGATGTTGGATATCCCCGGTGTGGCTACGCTTCATGTGCATGTTGACAAGGTGCCTACCTGTCTATTACCTACTACCTCGTCCATACTGGCTCCAGGAGACAGTTGGTCGTTGCTGGAGGGGACGGGGTGCACGGTCATCGTGGCCATACTAGACTCAAAGACTGGTTCCATGCACTCAGTGTGGAGCAGACTACGGTCCAGCCACCGTCTAGTGTACGACTGATTCCCAAGTACAGCGTGCTTGTGTTTGCCTGTGAAGGAGTGTAGACCGGCTATGTTGATGAAACGTGGCTCCCATCCACATGCCTCGCGGTCTTATTCCTTAGGGTTTACACTGGATATAAAGTGTGTGATTGGAGCTGTGAGTTGTGCAGCACAGGCACAGGCACAGGCATCCTGTGACTGGCAAATCCGAAACCGGATGCCGCCAACCACATAAATTCTTTATTATTAGACGATGCGAAACATGTCTATATAGGCATGATCATGGTAAAGGTACAACTAAATGTCGGAAAAGGTATAAAAGTGCTACAATTTAGTCATGAACATTGGAGTTGTGAGTTCACACATGTATGTGGGAGTGCATGTGTGTAGCTGTTATTCGTTTGAATATGTGCCGCTGTATTTGCGATTAATCGCGTGGAAAGTGTGATAAGGGATAAGTAACGTCCGTGGTGGGGGTGTGGTTGGCTGGGCTGTGACTTTAGTTGGAGGCGAGTCACATCCGCCTCATCGCATTGCCGTTAAACAAACATTAGTGGCTTTTTATTGGGAGAACACTTGCCAGGCGAAAACCAACCACGTCTTGGAGCACTGGACCCAATTTAATCGAGATAGCCCTTTTTCGACCCGGAGACACCTTGTCAACATTCACATCAAGCGCAGTCACACCGGAGATATCCAACGACATACACACCACATGATAGAGAATAAACACGTAAAACTGGACAGCAAATGTGCCGCAGTTCAACAGCACAGAGCAAATAATAATGTATATTAAGTTTGATCTAGTGGAAGTGTGATCTTGGATTAGAGGATATCAACCGATGAACACCGAACGTGACAGAAAAAACGCGCAAAATAAACAGGAGATTTACGGAGGATCAACAGAACTGAGCAAACAAAATACAGTGGATTCGATATGATCTAGTGCAGTGCGAAACAAGCGTAAGTCGCTTTAGCTAAACTGCGTTGAAGAAGCGATTCCTTATATATATATATATATATATATATATATATATATATATATATAGCATTAGAAATGACTGAAAGCAGTTTATTTAATGTGCTCAGTTCTTTAGCAATGAATAGTGATGTAGAGCAAGTGAGGGATGTGAAACAGACAGCTGAGTAAGCGTTGCTTTATTAACTCCGTAAATGATGAGGTCCACAGTAATGCTATACGCCTTTGAAAGTGGAACCTTTCAATCAAGAGGCCAACAGAAATCGAGCCTATTGGCCAAGCGGCGTCTCTGAGTTTTGAATCAATTTTGACAGGAGCATCATGCCACCAACGACCACGAAGGATATGGTGGTAATCAGAACGTCAGAAAGTTGAAGGCACTGATTTACACAGTGCTCCTGATCGAACTGGTTATTGATCAGTGAGATCTCAGGTAGTTTGTGATGGATAAAATAGGAGCTAGGCTAGGAGATTAGTTCTCCGGTCAAAAGTGCTGTGCTGATAGGTCAATCACAGCTTTCTAATAGGGACAATGGACTCGTAAGAGCGACACAATAGCACATGTGCTGTCAGCATAAATCAAGTATACGTACGTTATTTTTCGAATCCCCGTGTGATCCCACGCACTGTGCTTCCACTTAGATAGCTTTATCTAATACCTGTAGTGCATTGAACCTTTTGTTCCCCAGTTTGCCATGTTTTTCTCAAGCTGCGTGAAAACAGAATAACCGCAGCGTCCCAACATCAAGCCTACGTGTCTAATGCGGGTGAAAAAAACGAGGCTTTCCTGCTCTCAGACCAGTTGAACTCACTTGTGTGTACAAACATGGTTCACTGACGGTACACAAAAAGCCTGCCCTCACCACTCACCTTAGAGGTGCCTCTTCAGGCTCAGTCATGCCAACAGCGCATTCTCACATGGCCCAACATGAAGGACACCAAGTTTGTGAAGCAAAACTTGTGGTCGATAGGTTGTGTGAAGCCAGTAGATGTGAGTCTGCCGCATGTGAGATTGTAGCGAAAGTAAGAATGTAAAGCTAACCGCTATTCACCCTCTAGTGTAGCTGTCAGTTATCTTTACCTGAAATAAGACAGTGGGCTGGGTAGGTGTAGTAAAAGAAATGTGAACAAGGGTAAGTTAAGATGCAATCAAAGCAAGTTGGAGGTAGGAGCACAATCTGGACTGCAGTGTCTTCATGGAGCACAGAGAATGGTAGGAGAGCGATCGCTGTGGTGCACCACGTCACATGTCCGACTCAGGGACCAAGCACATAGACAAGGAACAGAAACGACAGCCTTAAGCGTAAGGCCAGCGGGTGGTTTTGGTGAAGTTATGTTCAAGCAACCAGATCGAAGAGGGGCTGCATGAACACATAGGTCGCTCACAGCTAAAAAAGGATATCGGACAGTTGAAAAACAAAGTGATCCCTCTTCATCCACTGCATTCTGACCGCCATATATTATTTAAGGTGGCAGTCAGTAGCGATTAAACGTCATAGCAAACAGTAGCTCATGTAAGGCTTTTGACAGAGTTACGACACGTCCGACAACAGTAAATATTTCATTCAGTACAGATCACTCACTCAGTTCGGCCAAAATGACAGCAGATGCAGGTGGCGCCGGCCAGTCATACCGTTCTATTGGGGCAGGAAGTGTTTTGTTTCGTTCTTGGCCGGCTGGGAAGCAGGCTAAGCGACGAGCCTCTCCGGTGATTTCCTGCTCATCTGACCGAGATGGATTGGCGTGAGATCCGTTGACTCTTGCCCGATCGTGATCTGACGACTTGTCCGAGTAGGATTTGCGACTCAATTCGATGGATGATCGAGTCATCTGTGGGGGGTGTTCCACCTGTCGCGTTAAATTTAGCTTGGGTCGAGGAGTGCTGGTTTGGGGCATGGTGTTACTACTGGTGGATCGACTGAACAGTATAGAATGCGTTCGCACGCCCACGGGGAGGAATCGGCTTTTGGCTGGCAGGAGGAGAGAAACAAGGGCACAGAGACATTTGAATCTGTAAACGCCGACCAGGTCATAGACGCTCGACGTAGTGAAACACGATTTTTCAGTTCAGTGGCTTATTACAAAGAGCGACTAAATTGATCGGATAATGAATACGAGAGCACGTACTAGACCCATGGGTACAGACACTCCGTTATCAATGAGACCAGCGTATATTTTTGTGACCCTGAAACCGACAGGTAACACTCTCAACCGAAGCAATGGATACCGCATGTAAAGTCCAATTCAGTATGGCACAGTCCAATGTCATCAAGAACATGGACCACAATGGTATGAATGCAAGGCGCACCGCTGTGTGGATTTAAAAAGGACATGCTGCAAGGATCCGTGTATGGCGCTCGTAAGGAACACTGAGCTGGCGGAGAAAGATATCTGTTCAAATGTTCTACGTCAGCAGAGACCCAACAGCAAGATTCTTCTGTCCAGTTACTTCTATGGAGTTGAAACTTGGGAAAGAGGTGTTCAGGGTCGCATGAAGGAAATAGTACGTTGCTTAGCAATGTACCCTAACGCTCGACAAGACATGAATCTGAAAGTAGATATCTTTAGCTTACGCGGAACTATTTCATCTTCCGAATATCAGAGGGTACGGGATGGCGATGTTACAGGGAGATAGCTTACAATCAGCATAATGGCCGAGAACCGTGGCGGAACCGTGGATCGGTCTACAATTGGAGTTCGAAGTTGAATAGAGATCAAAACGTGAATCTGTGTGGGATCAGCGGCAAGTTAGACCATACCTTGGACCGTTTGAGTTGTGTTAGTTAATAGTAATTAGCATCTCCAATATTACTATGTTAGTAGTTGCGTACAACCTATTTATTGCGCTATGTGCTCATACAACACGAATCCGAATCCGAATCGCTCGGTCCGGCTGGTCTTGGCGTTCTCATTTTGTGCGGGGTTGAACCGGTTGGGGGCGGTACCGCAGATTCTGGCAGGTCATCCTTATACTCAGCGGCCAACACAAGATATTTCTGACGACGGTCAGTTGCGCGGTAGCAACAAGTTAGCCTTACATTTAGCGGCAACCACAACAAATTTCCAGGGACATTACAACAGGTGATGCATCAGATACATTTCTATGGAGGTCAACCTGCTCGTGGAGTTTCGACCCAGGGACTCACCGGTTCTAAGAAGCGCAGAGTGAGAACTCCGTAGATAACCTTCTGCTATGGCACAGAGTATGCCGATGGAACGTATACTCTGAATAACTATATTCAATGAAGGTACTCATTATAAATGACCAGACATGATTGTGCTTGAACTTGAGAATTGCCTCCGGTTCACTTAAACCAACTCATTCATGCTGCCGCTGATTGCGAGAAGAATGCAAGAAAAGTCTTCTTTTCCGGTGCAAAAGTCCACTGACACTCGTATTCTTTCGCCGAGACTAGCCGGCCATAAGCTCCATTTTGTCGACCATCCTTAGACTCGGGACTAAGCCTGTTTTAGGAGTGCATGTGAATTTCCTTATATGATGGGAGCTTCACTGGGTGACCAAGTTGACATAGGGCTTTCACAGCTAAATCAAAGCGAGAGATATTGCAGAACTGTGTGCTACGCCAGCATCTCCCTAGCGAGAGGAATAAACGCACAAATTAGCAGAGCACTCCATGGAGCTGGATAGTTGCATCATCAGTGGTGGGAGGAAGAAGTTGGTGTGCGCATCTCAAAGGTCCAGGTGGCTTGTAGGGATTCCAACCTCCTCTGAAGGTGACGCTATCAGGGCTGAGGCACTAGTATCATACAGGACAAACGACAACACGATGAATCACACCACTTGCGTTAGAGTTTCAGTATTTGTTACCGGCTGTTCTTTAGAAATTCCACAGCAAGCAGTATCCAGCAAGCGATCCCAGTGGAAAGAGTTATCCCTATAGAGCTCTTCAAAGCAGCTGGTGGCGGATATTCATAGACTGTCGTACAAGCTGTAGCACGCTAAGACGACTATTCTTCCACCCTGGAAACTAACAAGCGAGAGGTGTTCCACTCCAGTGGGTGTGTGTTGGAGATCCGCTGCTGAGTATGTGAGAGCCATGCTCAGGACAGCAAGGCAAATACCATCGGTCGTGCCATCGTAAGCACAGCGTTGTGAACCCAGTTAAATGCAGTAGAGGCACACCCGTTGGAGTGAACAGACAGCTAATTGCGCGGCTTTAATCGGTCAGTCACTGTGTCAGAGACGGTAGAGATGAGGCTGATGCGACAATCTAACCAATCATTGGGTGGCATCGGATGGCAGTTACCGGTAGCCGAGTTTGTCAATGGTCACAGGCCAGACTAAATCTGTCTGGCAGGCTTTCGGAAATCAATTGGTGCCCGTCCATGTGAAAAGATTCATTTATGGGCCACTGTCGATATTACGCTGCAATGCGGCCACGCAAGAAGTCACATACGTAGTTCAAACGCCAACTGTTCTTTTAGCTACGTTTGGGTGTCCTAGTAGTGACGCAGCCTACATACACCAAAGCTGCATGACAACATAGACGCATCAAGATAAAGTACAGGCGTACAGTACTATAATGCGTATTATCATTACTGATATATAAAGCCCATGCCGGTGTCAATTTGGACCACTGGTTATCGAACGAGTAGCCCAGCGGTCTCCCAACTGTTGATCGGCAACAGAGGTTTTGACACAAGACACAGATGATCCGGTTAAGTTGGCCATTCTCTCTAAGGGTCAGATTGCGTTGTTTGCATGTCCGTTAGCTGCTCATCCTAGTATGCCTCCGCTTTCGATGGTGCAGCCGTTTAGGCGGAATATAAAGACAGTCGAACGAGGTGACATAGCATCGAAGCATGAAGCTCAGACCAAAGCAACAAGTCACTTTAGTGAATGTTACATTCATGAGTGGAGATCATCGCTTGGACAGTGTCAGTGATTCACTTTCAACGCTGTCAATGTGATGGGAGCTCTTCTGTCCATTCTGAGCGCCCGTTACACGGATGATTTTTGTCACTGTGGTGACATAAGCGGTGCAGTCCAGAGTGACTGAAAGCGATCAAAAAGGCCAGTCATCGTGTGTCGCTGCACATATCGATGGATACGACAAACCAATAGAGCCGCATGCAGGCTGAGGAGAACGTGCGCAGTACGATAGGGACTAAAAACGGTGCAACCGATGCATTGTGTAATCACTGACCATTTCTATGATAGGCACTGAAAATGCGATCCCTGGCGAATACCAGTAAAATGTGTACCAAACGGACGACTTGCACATAGTGCACCAGTGGTACCGGACCCAAAAACGAGTGTGTGTGTGTGTGTGTGTGTGTGTGTGTGACTGTGCGTGAGTAGAGAAACAGACTGGTTAGCTTACGTGACAATGGGATTGTGACCGCTGATGGTGAAGAGGCAGTATGAAACACGTGTAGCTATATTCGTGTATGGGTTGTGACGAAGAAGGTGAGCAGAGGTTGAGCAATGCGAAAGATTCATCGACCAATATAATACAACGCGAGTGTCTACGGTAACATAACACGTTTTACGACACTATAGTGTTGCTGAGGTCAAGCTGGTGAAGAAAACGCTTAGGAGTTTTGAGAATACTAGGATGTACAAATGAGTTTAGGCATTAAGTATAGACAGTTGACAGCGGGCGTCCAAGCTGGTACGCTGAGTGCAAAAGTAGAGGTAAAAATGATCCCTGTTTTCTCATTCGGCGCCACTGTATAGTCAAATTGCAGCACAGGGCTGACTGTCGACTTCGGTCATGAGACTTCAGACCAGTATCATAGTAACGGAACTTCGATCAAAAAATGCAGTTCGCTTGGGTGGTTACAAAAGCCCCGAACTGGAGTGAATACGAAACAGACACGGCAAACGCTGTGCTATTCTCAAAGCATAATCACAATGTCTTCGACTGATTCTATAGCTCACAGAACTACAAGCTGATGTTGGCAAGTAGCCGATCATTCCATGAGATCTTGAATGCTGAACACAACAGTTGTCATTGTTCAGGAAAGCGACGGTGGGGGGGGTGAAATATTATTCCATAGCATAGGTAGCAGAACGCGGTTCTCATGTGCAGAGCTACACTTCTGTACTTGAATTGAATAAAGCATGTCGTCCATACTTGAAATTTTTTAGTTCCAACCTCAACATAATTATGAGACCACAATTGCCGGATAGCTTTTGGGAGGTAGGGAGTTATCCTGCGTTGGGTGCCACCGCATCAGACAGTCGGCTTACTCTGATAGCATGCTCAGACAGGCTAGTGCTTAAGGAACTAGTTTACGCAATGGCACATTTGTTAGACATGAGCAGACCTATAAACTGAAACCAGGTGCGCCCGTTAAGCTAAACTATCCTAGTGGATGAAAAATGATGGATAATAAATACAAGACCAGAGAGATGCGGTGGCTAGACATGGCTCACCGTAGTAACAGAGTGCCGCCTAACTATCACTGTCAGACTGTACGGTAGTAAAAAGCGTGCGACAGAAGCATGCATTTGGGATGCACTCATGAAACCATGAAAGTGATGGTCGACTGTCAAGCGCTCACAAAAAAGCATGCACAATACAGATCAATGCCATGAATCACGCATCCTGAGCTGATTTGGTCAGGTTTTGCGACCGTTGTTAAGGCGTTTTGCCAGTTTCCGGTAGATAGTGAACTTATTTACGGTATCCATCGAGGCGGAGAAAATGAAGTGTCTGATCAGCTAGAAGGTAGCACCACAGATAAGGGTACGAGTCAGGCTGACTTTCGATGAAGGTGCATTTATTGTGTACCGAAAGGACAGCTCAAGTTATGGAAATGCAGGAGTAGATGCAACTTGTGGGTTATGTGACTTAGGCGTGGTTGAAAACAGCATTCGAGCCAGGTTTTGGACGAACGGATTCTTCGGGTTCGACACTGTGGACTGAAATCAGTCAGTGTTGGTGGATCGTCTAAACTGTCGGATGACCAAACTGATCTACTAATATCAAGCTTTTTTCTGGTAAACGACAGCGAAGACGTGAATCAAGATTTCGGGATACCAGAGTTTGCGCGACAAATGGCCGGATGAAAATTCTGGGTAAACAGCTCGCGTTCCGGCCAAAGCGTGGACCATGTTTAGAAAGAAATGATGTATGTACTATAACCGAAACAGAACAACGCAGCTTATCGAGGCCTGATGCCCTGAACGTGGAATTGTTTGTACAAAAGGCCCGATATTTCCCTGCATACGAATAGTCGCCATAACAGCGGGTGCTGTATCGCTTCCGACTTAGTACTTCAGTTCGGTGACCTTAGCCTGGTAATTTCCCCTACCGCTTTCTGTTTTATCATTTAACTATTATTGCTAGGCTCCATATTGACGATATAGTATATCCAAAAATACGGAGCATGGTTGACACATTGATTTGTTTAAAACCGGATTGAAATGAACCCATGGGGGTGATTCGTAGCTAGTAACGAGAAAACTGACCCGCATCATGTCAATGAGAATGGCGGTCCGTACGTCAGAAGACGTGCACAAGCGCCGAACCGGTAGGCTATCAAGTTCATACACGATCTGTCTTGCAGTAACTAGATAGTACCCCAAATAGATTCGGACTCAGGTCCGATGAACAGCCAGTTCGAACCCCAATATACTGAACTACGCGCTAAAATCACACGAATATCAATTCAAATGGATGAGAAACAATTAAACCGATTTTGAGTGTGGGTGTAATCGCACTACTGTCCGTCGTCCTTTCGAAACCCATGAGCGAAAAAAGCAAATATTAGGAATTGTGAATTACCCTCAGGAATGTGGAAGTGCTTCGGTTTGGCGCAACTGGTGACAGTGTTGAATGAGACGTTGCGTTTGTATCCATCAGGTGAGGTGGGGGAAGTAGGGTCCAGATGTATGTAAGACTGGTTCAGAAGACGTCCGTAGTCTGAGTTGGGGACACGAGTTGATAAACTCTGAAAATGACAGACAGACATACACAAGCGTGTGTACTCGGCTGGGATGAGAGATTAGTGCAAAACTGCATACCATTGAACTACCCTTGGACATTGGTTTACTGTACCAATACACAGAGTGCTAGGAGAAGCGGAACTAGTAATTTGTCATGAAACACCAACGCGCATGCGGCTTGAAGTGACCGGAAGTGTAGGAGTATCAGAAAAGTCAACTTCACTTTTCACAGAATTCGCTACGAAACATCCGCCAATAAGTGTGATAACACCGTGGGTGATAGTGAGAAAAAAACGAAACATCTACTGAGATAACAAGCGCCGGGGTTGGGATGAGCTGAGCGCTTCAGCACTTCGCCAAGTGTCCTCGTAGTGATCAACAAGACAGTACTCATTGGCCAGATGGTTCACAGAATATTGTTGTTAAAAATGTAGCCATTAGAGACAGTACTTATCGGATCATGATCTCGATTGCGTTGGCAAGGTATATAAGCCCGAGAAGAAATCTCAGATATCGGGAATACATGTTTGCTGATGGACATCTTGCAGCACTCGGAAGTGGGCCAAGCAGCATACAGACAGAGTGCAAACGAACAAACATACCCTGTGGTTATGCATGGAAGCAGATGCGTAGCCTGATGCGGTCTGAAAAAGACGCTAGTGTTCGAATCGCTGACTGACCTCAAGTAGATTCCCAGATGAGCACGACTATATTTCCAACGCGGAATACACAGTTTACAATCTAACGAAAACTGCGACTTTTGCTGTGACTCTACTGAAACTGTGCTGATGGTTATAGATAAGTATGACGTCTGTGTATCGCTAAATAAAGTAGTAACAACCAAAACGCCTCCAATGACAATAGTCCAGATGATATTAAGGAAGAGTTCCACCTGTAACTCTCAACTTTTACCAGAATGAATGAGAACCGGGACACCGTAATTGTCGCAAGTAGGAAGAGCGGTCAGATGAGAGGATTATATCCAAAACATGATCTAAGATTATATCGGGGTTGATAGTTACCATAGTGGCAAATGCGACCGTACACTGCAAAGGCGCATCGAACATAGCCCGCTATCTGTTGGACAAGACGCTACTCAGAAGCATGGTGATGCCATTGACATCAAAGATTAACGCTTCGTCTAGAGCAAAATTTACTATGCTCACCGGGACAGTGTGTTCCCTTCCGTGGCCATGGTAAACAACGTTGAGCAAAGGTCACCTAGGACAATCTGCGAAGAACAGTTGTCAGTGTGTATCCAGATAGATCAGTAAATTATCGTATGGAATCGCTTCTACTACGCTAGGAATTCGGTACCAGGAGACACTCGCCCGGCCACCTTGGGAAACCCGAATAGTACACGGATTGTCGTGGCTTTAGTTAGTCTGATTGAAGTGCAGATATCGCTCCGTTTGGAAGTCGGCTTCAGACTGCAAACAGCCCCCTGAGAGGCCCAAACCCAGATGAAGTTGGATTAACTGAGAACTATAGTGGACTGCGGTGGACCGAGAGATGGGGAAAGATACATCCTCGAGATCAGCAGTGCTGCGTAAAGTAACAGAAATAAGGGTCTCGGTGGATGAAGGAGTATGTGAGTGAAATAGGCAGTCGATTCATACACAGTCCTGTCAGCCAGAACGGTAAGTCCAATGTACCGCAAGGTAATTTGACCGGCCAATTGTGCCGCCATCGTTAACTGGGTCATGTGAATTCATTTGCGCAGTTGTTGATACGACTGCTGGCATTGATGATAGCCGACATGGACTGAGATAACTGAAACGTCCCAGGGTACATGACCGGGATGACCCCAAGCATCACAAGTTGCAACTGTAAGCGGGGCCATCGTCGCTCCAATTACCATAGCTAAAACCACTTACCGTGATAAGGTGCTATTGAGCGACTGATAAATTTTAGACTTCCACTGGACCGCTGGACGTTGAGTAGAATCGCCCATTCAGAGTACTCGTTATCATCACTCCTGACCTGCTCACTGGTTCCGGGAGGGGTGAAGATATTGATCGCCAGGCTGTGAAGACCAAAGGGTTGGTGTAATAACCAGGTGCATGAACTGCGCCAGGCGTTTGAGTAGCCACACACAAACAAGTGAGCCAACGTTATGGACTTTCCTGAGGTAAAGGCCATTTTCGGTTCATCTGACTGTATTGTTGTCGAACTAATAGTGAAGAGCGGGTCGGGGAAGTTATTTTCTACTCTGAGGCTTGCATACCATGACCTCAAGGGTAGTATTAAGTGATATGAGACCCCACCCCCTAGACGGCCTTGATGAGCGTAGTTCGTCAAGGATGCTGTAGTTCTATCATAACCTTGGATCGAAAGTGTCATGAATAACTTTCCAGGCAACAGACCGGTAAACAGATTACACGGAGAATGTGGCTCCTTAGGGGTCGACTCCAGCCAATAAATAAGCATCCACTCTTGAGTGTCGAATGACGTCTCAATCTGACCTAGCGTTAACAAAAGCCAGGAAAAAGCTGACCGAAGGACTGTCTGATTGGCGGGTACTTTCGCTTTAGAGGAGTGTCTCGGAAGCGACCACATCAGCAGTTGGGCGTACTGCCGACGAAGTGACACAAGTTGTGCGCAGTAGTCGTCCAACTTAAGCAGCGCAGTCAACAGAAATCAAGCACGGGTTGGTTGTGCCTAACTGTCAAAACCACTTTCATGAATCGTGTAGATACATGTCAGATATATCGCTGCCAAGTACTTAGGCACACAAGGAAGGACTGGACTTTGAAGGGATCCTGATGAAGAGTAACCCGGTTGGATCAATATGTCGGAATATGCTTGGAACCGGTTGCTTAAGTAGCGGGGAGTAACAAAGTTCCTGGTAGTGAATTGACCGCCGTATACGGTGGAAACAGTGTTCTTTCCCATGTCATACATTTCACCAGAAATCTCGTAGGGTGACTTGGTCGGATGAGATCGATCGCTACTGATTCCGCAGACGCAGAAGTCAGCATGTCACATTGGAGTATTAATCGGTTATGATTTGATATCTTGAAGCTTCAAAAGCCCTGCAAACTTTTGGATACGCATGTGAACGCACAATACTTGCATGATATTTTCCCAAACGATACTCTTGAAAGCGACGCAGGCACCAATTGGTGTGTGTGTGTGTGAGTGAACTACAGTGGCGTACATGATTTGTGCATTGGATTGACGAGCCCTTGTTACAGCCAGTGGGTAGGAGCTCTGCTGTTGGAAGATTCTGACGTGTGCAGCATCGAATATTTGACTAGAATGAGTAGTTTGTTTTGAAGCCATTTCAGATTCGAGTGGATAAAATGACCTCTCAAAGCCAACAATATACCACATCTGTTTAGGTAACCAGACCCAGGAGCATTGATAAGTCCCAAGAAGGTGAACGAAATGCGAGACTACAAGCTCTAAAAAGTCAAGGTAGAGAATTGGAAAGGATTAACAAGCGAAAATATGGTGTACCTGTCGGGAATGATGAGACGATGATAGGCCTGTGGGAGACAGGACATTGGAAGGCGAAAAGACATTGCCGCCGTTCATTTGTTCTGAGTAAAGGGGTACGTGGATTGGATCTTCCGAAGTTTTCGACTAAAACGCAAAGTGTACGGGTTATGATACTATCCAAATCTGGACAATGGGAAATAACTGGTTATTGAAATAGAATAATGGTCGAAATAACAGACTGACTGATGGTATAAAAACAAACGAAGTTGCATGATTAGTTTGTTGTGATCATATTATTGAACAGTTGAGGGGGTTTTGAGTTCATTGTTTTTCCTAAGGTTGATCAGATAATGATTTATGTGGTTGTGGAGAAGATATATCGACCTGTAAGTTGGGTCCGGTGGGGAATAAACATCAGCCCTTGGATCTGACAGAGTCCTAGGGGGAGTACACGTAGGTCTATCTATGGTTTTATCAGTTTTCAATGTCTCCAAGCACCACGTTCTGTGAAGGACCCTTGAGATCTGCTGCAGTAGTGAGTCATGAAATACATTCGCATGTGTAAATATGCTAAGTTGAATTATTCTGACCGGTGTGCGCGTATTATTTCGGAAACCGACGCTTCTTCGAAGCGGCATGCGTTGGATATTCGTTAACTTGGGAAATAGGTTAATGTGTTGTGTGGGCACAGATCTTCCTGATTGCTTAGGTCGAGGCTGAGGAAGAGGGTCGACTTAAGGGACCCCACCCTGAGCCTTTAGTCTTAAGACCTAACCAGCAAGGCAGCGGGGTGATTAAGGAAGACCGTTGACATCCGGGTGGCTCCTTCGCCTTCTTTGTGTTCAGTAGCAGTCCACAGAGAAGCCGGTGGCCAGCAGCATTGTTCATCCGCTCTCTGTTATATACTCACTTCTGGTTACAGAAGTGAGTGGTCAGTGACCCTATAGCCGGTCACAGTGGCTTTGACACAGCTACGTACGAGCTCTTGTGGCATTTGATGGAGAACCAGGTGACCAGCCCAGAACTCCCCACGCTCTGAGACACTGCCGCTGAGTGTCCGCAACTGCTTATTCATCTCGCCTGCAAAGCAGACGAGACATATTCGCAGTTACCACCACAAGGAAGGCATCCCCCAATCTGCAACCTAGGGACGCGCCCGATAGCGTACAGCTCCGCCACTTTCCAAATCCTTTCACTGTACCGTTTCTCCCACTTTTTTGTTGTTGTTAACTGTGTTGTGGCACTGCCAATTGTACACTGGTCAAGTGTTGAATAATAACAAGTAATAATAATAACTTTGGAAATAAATATCCCCTTTCTGATGGATAACCACAGCGCTGCCCCAAGGGTGATCCAACCACAGAATACGTTGAAACTGGCTATCCTGATGGCCAGTATCATTTCGGCCACCGTTGATGTTGGTGAATTTATCGAGTGAGTAACGAATACTGATTTCTAATACAGGGTGGTTTCAAGCAACGCCAAGAGCTAGCAGTTCAACAAACAGTTCCGTTAGTCTGGCTGTTCTCATTGGTTTAGTAAGTTGAGTTACTTTAGAAGCAAGCATAGTTGTCAGAGATTGGATGGCGTACTGCGATGGATGATGTAACAGCAAGGGGTGAAGAGCTGGGTTTCCCAGCTACAGAGAGTGTACTAAAAGGTCCGGGAGCGATTAGTGGTGTCAGGTTTGCTCTCTCTTGGTTGTGCCAATGAGGTCCTTTTTGGTGGACTTCTCTGTGCATTGACAGTATTTCATTGGAAGTCCGATATCAATTAGTTTCATTTCGGATACTGTTGGTGAACTGAAAATTGTGTCGTTTTACGCGCGCTTTCTTAAATGTTCTAAATCGTGTATACATATTTAGTTAAACAGGTCGCGTTGGGATAAACCAACAAATTTATGCCTCGAATTCGCTCCGTTTCACTTTTGGACGTTTCTGTACACTTTGCCATTACTTCTACACCGTTCACCCGTCCCAATTTATTTCCACAGGTTTCATCTCAGTGTTTTAGAAATCTCTGTCATACCAACTAGACGCTTCACCATGATTGTTGTAAAAAAAGAGAAGAATCTTTAACAGCACCAACGATTTCGTCAAATCTGTTGCAGATCTGTAAAGATGCTTTTGACTGACCCACTGTCATAAGAACTTGTTAAGGTCCAGAATGTTGAAAATTAGCTCGTCATGCACAAAAAATGAAAAAAATAGATTAATAGATTATTTGTCAAGCTCTTGTCATTTGTGCATTTGATCTACCTTCACAGAACCTCAAATACCGGTAAACTCAAGGGGAATGGACAGCGGCTGTCACGTATTGCTTACAAAATAAGCGAATGAAATCACCGCGTCCACAACGCCAGAATACTCATTGTGTACCAGACCGTTTAAGACCATGTAACGTTAAATGTGTGTTTCTGGCAGGTTATCATATCCCGCCAGATAAATGCATACGTAAACGACTACGGGTGCTAAGCAGCGGTAAGTTCTGCCAATATTCCTTAGCTTTTATCTCCAAGAGCTCGCTAATAATTCTGTTGCCAAAAGAGGAGATAGGAGAGAATCAGTTTCGCGTCCATCCAACTAAAAGCTAATAATAATAACACCGGACCGAATACTGCTACATAAATCACTTCAATCATCTGGTGGTGCGTCGAAGCAAAAATGTGTCTTATAGCTGATATAAATTTTTTTTACAAAACCGAAGATGGATCTGACCTTAACCTTTAAATCCGCAACGAGAGCAAAATGGTATCCTGTAACACCACATAGACGGACATGATCTACAGCAAAAACGTATGCCCAATCATGGATCCCGGGACTGCAGCCTTTAAGCTCTCCGTTTAACGTGTGCCTGATAAGGCATCCCACTTCCAGACGACTCACATCGAATTGGATTACCAGAAAACAACTCGCAACTAAATGACACTAAACGTGGGGATTTGAGCCTACCTAAAGGCATCAAATACCGCCTTGATACAATTAAGCTGACACCTAGAATGAATTTAATCAAGGTCCGATGACAATCTCTAGGAAACAGCTTCCAGAGACAAATGCGTCCACAACAAGAAATATCAGCCATGAACTAGGCTATGAGTGTACACAACCAACTATACAGGCGCCCCTGTTGGTTAGAAAAACTGATCACTACAAAGCCCCATAGCATTTGAGATCACCCAATGACCAAACAGTCTCCTTTAAAGAGAAGACGGGTGAGTAACCTGGAGGTTCCATTCTCGCCTGACCTTCAGTTTCAACTAAAACGCACAATTTCATTCTGCCAACTTCCTTTTCTATTTTATGGAACGTGCCGAGGTATGGCCCATCTAAACAATAACAGCTATATTCCCTTGGTAAATGGCAAAACACAGACAATTGTCGCCCCAGCAGCCAAAAGCCACAAGGGTGATAGAGAGGATTGTCGAGGAGAAATTGCTTGACTTTCTGTTGCCAAGCGATCCTGTCAAAGATGTTAGTTTAAGATCTTGTATCACGTGACTATAAAAGTAGACTCGGAGTGTGCTTTGAGCACCACTTGTATCGAGTTATTCTTTAATTATCAAGCTCAGGACATTTGGTAGTTCAGCTCAACTATTGTTATGGTTTAAATCATGGTTTATCGACAGTACTTAATCGGTTCGATTAAAGTAAATGAAATCCAAGTGAGAAATAGTGACTAGTGTGTCTTCCAGATTAACGTCCTAGTTCCTACTCTAGATTAACACGTATTTCAAGTCTTTTCTCTAGTAAAACTGGCTCTGTTAATTGATGAGACTAAAGCCATCTTCACCTTCCATATGGCCAACTGAAAGAGGTTGCATTAATGTAGGAAAGGGCATTAGGGATCTCGAAGGCTCGTGTTGCATGTCGAAAATGGAATTCACACCTACTAAATTCAGAAACATTGCATATCGTTCTGCTGCATCGCCCAATGCGCTCAAGGAAAACAGCGCAACCATGTCGGAAGGCTATAAAGTATGAGGGTGGCTTGCTGAACAACATCCTCGTGGTGCCAGCTGAGCGATTCAGTGTTTATCTCGTTCCAGTAAATGAATGTGGTACGTTTTCATTATAAAAGCCATATATATCTGTGTAACAACACTGCGATGTGGGGGATGTGAGTCGCCACTAAATAAAGTTACTGTCCATAATTCACCCTGGCGGAGTATTGTGATCTAGCGGGTAGATGCAATTACTGTGGAGAAGATTAGGCCCCTGTTTGCTAACTAAACAAACAAGACGTATGGACGGATAGATGGGTAACTGGATACCAATGGGTACGATTTCCTGAAGTAGCCCCGATAATTTTTGGTTAGGCTGTTGAGCCTAGGGTGGTTCCCTAAGTCAACTCCACACTTCGGCAGGGGCAACAAGGCAGTATCAAACACGCCGGTAAAACCATAAATTTCTCTGTGTTGTGTGCTGTCCTTCTTTTTTTTACAACAACTGTACCATTATTTTTCATTCCTATGGATAGTTTCAAGCCGAGCTGTGGACTTTTAAAGAAGGTTTTATATATGGTTGGCAGCATCCGGTTCCGGATTTGCTTGTCACTGTGGCCTCTATAGGACAGCCACAGGACGCCTGCGCCTACAGAGGGACCATGGGTGGCTTGCGCTGCACCATTCACAGATCCATCCACACACCCCATTGCCAGTGTAAACACAAAGGAATAAGAACGAGAGGCATGCGGATTGGAGCGAGGGTTCAACAACGGAGCCGGTCCACACTCCTTCAACATACACAGCAGCAGCATCATTTCTGTTTATCTAGGCAGGGATTATGCGTATCAAACGTACACAAGGCCGTGGCTGAACCGTAGTCCGCTGCACATTGGATGGAACCACTCTTTGAGCCCAACACGGCCACGAGGACCGTGCAACCCGTCCCCACGTTATATATATATATATATATATATATATATATAGTATAGCAAATTACCTAGAGCTATCTCAACTTATCAAGACAAGCGAACAATAGCTACTGGAAAGCTAGAGTTCCTATCGGTAACAGCGGGTAGAACGACAATCGGCGCATCTGACGTAAGCTGACCAAATCTGCACAGGCCAGATAAACAGCACAGATTTGGTTTGGGATATTGGGAACAAAACGCAACTTTGTTCCAGCCAGTGGATTTAAGCAGCA